GGGGCACCTGGGTGGCTCAGTCAGTTGAGCGTCTGACTTAGGCTCGGGTCATCGTCTCACGGTTCGTGGGTTCGAGCCCCGTGTCGGGCTCTGTGCTGACAGCCAGCTCAGAGCCTGCAGCCTGTTTCACATCCTTTGTCTCCCTCTCTCTCTGCTCCTCCCCTGCTCATGCTGTCTCTCCTTCTCTCTCAGAAATAAATAAAACGTTAAAAAATTTTTAAAAAGAAAATAAAACAGAACGCTAGGGGGCGCCTGGGTGGCTCAGTTAGTTAAGCGTTCTGACTCTTGACTTCCTTTCAGGTCATGATCCCAGGGTCACAGGATGGAGCACCTTGTCCAGCTCCATGCCCAGCATGGAGCCTGCCTGCGATTCTCCCTCCCTCTGCCCCTCTCCTGCAGGTGCGTACTCTTGCTCTCTGAAAGAAGGCCGTTTGGTTCTACTGGCCTGACTTGGAGCCAACAATGAACAAACCTCTAAAGCACTAAGGGAAAAAATAACCAAGAAACAAGAGACATAATACACGTGTGAACGAGGCGTGTCGGTAGGATGCCTGTGGCTCTAAGGAGAGGCAAGTGCCCAATCTTCACCACAGCAGATTTAGGCAGAGAGGCTACCGGGCTTCTCCCCTAAAGATCCAAAGCTATTTGGCTCACTGAAATCAACCCTTGAACCAGGGCAGTCTGTCAAGTCAGGACAATCTCCAAAAGTGCCACTTCTCAACCCGCAGGACACAGAGGGTGCCAAGAAGTCCGTGAGGACTGGCTTCCTGGCGAACAGCGCTCGCGGTCTGTGGAGCCGCGGCGGGTGTTGAAACGGGCACTGGTCCCTTCTGCAGAAGTCCGCTGATGTTCGACTTCACAACCAAGTGCTTCCTGACGGATGTTTCCCTAGCGCAGAAACTTAAAAATGCAGACGCGCATGATGTAGAACGCAAGGGGGGGGCCAACGTTTCCTCCCAACCGAAGTGACAGTCTACCAAAAACAATTGTGTGCCCTTCATTTATTCTGCCTACTGGGGGAGGGTTCTGTTGCAATAGTATTTCAGGGAAGGGAGACCACATACGTGCACATCATGTATTTTCACACACACAAAGGACACAGAGAGAAAGAGGAGGACAAAACAAATAGGCACGCAGGGACAGCGGGCAAAGGACACACGGGCATCCCTGCAACCCTAGAAATGACAACAATACAGAGAGGAAAAAAATCCCCCATGATTCTGGGCAAAAAGTTTTTTGTTGTTGTTCTTTAAATAAACACCAAGCAGCTGTGCATCTTGTTCTTCCCAAGACCAGTTCTGGCTCATTCTTTCTGTAACAGCAACAGTGACCAAGAGCAAAGGTCTGAGCTCGTGATGCATGCTTAAGATCATGAGGGAAAGGCCAATACTGGGCCTGCACCGAACAGCGAGGCGAGGCATCAAGTGTATGCTTTGCTCTGGGTCTATTTGTAGAACTCCAGAAAACAATCTTGGTTCGGTACTTAACCTGTTTTTGAAGGGACATTCTTTTATCTACTCCATAAAAGTGTATGTGAGAGGGGAAAGATAGAGAAGGCTCCAGGAACGAAAGAATTCAATCACTTCCAGTTTAAAGTATTAACCTTTCAAAAATTCTTTGTCCATTTCATCATCTATTTTTAAGGGTCCAAGTTCACTAAGAACAAAAAAGGAGCCTCTGTTCCACCTCCCCGTGTTGGGCAGTAAATACTCACTCTTTGCACAATATTATCAAAACATCACATTTTGTTCCACCAAAAAAACCTTTAAAAACGAGGCACCCAAAAAACGGTAAATAAACTTCAAGGAATCAGGTTAGCCATGAAACATTCAATTTGAGGAGATGTGAAGACCAGGTTTTGGAATTCTTACCCCCTGTCTAAGCACTGGGTCTCCAAATGCCGGGGGCCGGGGATTCTGCGGACTTCAAAGCAGATGACCCTACTCATGACAGCAGCCATGTCATAGCACAACTCAGGCTCCCGGTACATGTTTCAGTCATTCATAAAGGCCTGGTGGAATCCAGATGTGGACTGCCCTTCTCTGAAGAATCTCCTACCGGGAACAATCCTGTGTGGGCCGTGGAGAGGTGGACGTCTGGAGATGTGAGAATTCCTGGCCCCCCTCGAGGTAAGCAAGCACACTAGTTCACAGCTACCTTATCACCCACATCATATCCTCCAGCTCCGTACTAGGAAGAAAAGCTTTCTGGAAGGAAGATTTAGCATCGGCAAGCCAAGGCTTAGGACAAAGGACGACGAACACCTGAGGCAGCCTGCAGGAAGCATGGGGTCAGGGACGCCGGCTGCCTCCCCTGGAAGGACCTGGCTGCTTCAGGGCAGTGACAAACAAGGGACTTGCCAGTGGGAGGCAGGACAGCCCTTCCGATGGAGGGGAGGGGGCACCCGAAGGCCCACCTGCCAGAGGAGGCCGCAGCCTGGGAGGGGCCACAGAAGCCTGACCTCCGGGCAGACCACGGAACTCCTATCAAGTAACCAGCAGGAGAAATGCTGTTTTCCCCGATGTCTCCATCTTAAGTTAGCAGAGGTGGGGGTGGGTCTGTGTCTGTGCTGGTCACTGTCCCTGGCCTAATACTGGGCACAAATATATTTGCTTGTTCTCGGTCTTCCTCCATTTCAGTGCAAGAGGCAGGGGAGCAGGGACTGACAGTGCATGGCCATGGGCAGGGCAGGAGGGCAGAGCAGGCCCCCCGCAAACACAGAGGGGCCTAACCCCCTCCCCCCCCAGAGGTCCAGAAGGTGCAGGAGAATCGCCCAGTGGAACGCACAGGCCGGAGGGAGCGAAGCTGGCAGCACGGGGCCAGTCACCCTGGAAGGAGGCACAGACGCCGTTCAGGAGGTGGAGTGGATTCCCCACAGGGCCCAGCTCATCACACAGGCGACTGAAATAGCATGTATTAAAGCTCTCCCCAAATCCGAGCTCCCGGGTTACCTGTCACACATATGTCGTGAGTATGGAACCCCTAACTCTCAGCAAAGTTTCTTAACTGAGGCCAGGCAGGTGTCAGGGCTGCTCATTACACACGGAGAAAATAATTACAAACCAGTTATCTGACAAATGGCCAGTACGCGGAATATTTAAAGAACTCTGAAAACGTAACATTAAAAACCCCAAATCTGCCTATTAGAACGTGGGCAAAAACGCGGACATTTTGCTGAAGAGATATGCACATGGCGAGTAAGCCCACGGAAGATGCTCATCATCAGCCGTTAGGGAAACGCTGATCAGAATCGCAACGAGGCAACACTGCTCGCGTGGACCCAGGCGGTTAACGCCACACACCGGCACAGGGGACCTGGATTCTTCAGACGCCACTGGTGGGCATGCAGGATGGTTCAGCCGCCTGGAAAATACTTGGCAGTCTCTTAAGATAATAAAAAAAAGGGGGGGGGGTGTCTCTACCAGATGACCTGACAATTATATTCTTAGACATTCATTCCGGGAAGATAAGAACTTATGTCCACACAGGCCTCCATATATGACTGTTCATAGCAGTTCTATCTGTTAATAACAGCCAAAGCCTGGAATCAGCCCTGACGCCCTCTAACAGGTGCCTGGTGATAAGCTGGGCCCCATCCACACCTCGACACAGGCAAGAGCTTGGACAAATTTCCAAGCAATGATGTGAGTAAAAAACAACAACAACAAAAAACCAGTCCCTAAAGGTTACACACTTGCAATTACATATTTTGGGCAGATGAATGGTTACCAGGATTCAGGCTGCAAGGCAGAGTCAGGTGTGGTTATAAAAGGGCAAAACAGGAAGGACCCTGCGGTGCTGGAACCGACTGGCACCTTGGCCTTGCGCGGCAGACTCAGAAACCTGCAAGGGTGTTAACAGACCATACAGAATTCAGGAGAACACAGCCGCATACAGGTAAAACTGGTGACACCTGATCGGGAGTGATCAGCTTTGCTCTCCTGGATGTGGTTTTCCACTGCGGTTTTGCAAAACGTTAGCACTGGGTGAACCTGGGAGAAAGGTATGTGGGATCTGTATTATGATATCTATGATCACCTCCATTTAAAAAACTACACACCTTGGGGCGCCTGGGTGGCTTAGTCGGTTAAGCGTCCGACTTTCGCTTAGGTCATGATCTCGCGGTTCATGGGTTCGAGCCCCACGTCGGGCTCTGTGCTGACTGCCAGCTCAGAGCCTGGAGCCCGTTTCAGTCTGTGACTCCCTCTCTCTCTGACCCTCCCCTGCTCACGCTGTCTCTCTCTCTCTCTCTCCTAGAAATAAATAAAATAAAAAAAAAAAACAAAAAAAACTACACACCTGTACAGAAAACAAGTTACGTATGTAGGACGAGCCCTTAGCTTTCTACCATATTCTCTCTGGGGAGGAGGGCTCTGTACCTACCGTTTACACAGCAAGTCCTACTGCACACACACACATACAAACACACACACACACACACACACATACACAAAAACCAAAGAAACTGAGATCCAAGATGAAGCAATCTATCTCAAGTCACAAACAAGTGACTGAGCAAGAAGTCAAGGCTCTTTATGACCCTTCCATAAGTCCATGTTTCTCTGACATGTAGGCCACTCGAATGCCAAAAAATGCCAACTGAAGAAAATAAACCAATCCTACAGGGGCTGAAGTTTTCAGTTTTCCGGAAGCTGTTTGTAACAGAAAGATAAATGGTTTAAATTGCATTTAAAATGGAGAGAAATTACAGAATACTACACACAACACGATATCATGTATTGAAAAAGACAACCCATGGAGCAGGTGTTTCCACAGGTACATTTATAAACACGCAAACACACTGACCTTGGAGCACACGTACCACCCGTTCACAGCTGTCGCCCCAGGAAGACCAAGGTCAAGGAAGAGTACTGGTCAAGGGGTGTCTGGACTTTAGTCACAGTGTTAGAGTTTGAGAACGCATTCCAAATCAAGTATAATTTGTCTGGGTTTTTTTTTTTTTTTTAAAAAGAAGGGGGAAAAATAAAGCAAGCACTTACTGCATTCATAGATCTGTTCCAGCTTATCCACAGAAGAAAGGGAGAAAAATCTATAACCGGACTTACTACCAACAGCTAGGGACCTGCAAAAAAGCCAAATCAGAAATAAGAGCTGATACGTGCAGACAGTGATAATGCAAAAACTAGCTCCACGTCACCAAATAGTAACCACCGTCTCTACTATAAATTAGCACCAGTAATTTCACATTTTGTGAGCAGGGGCTGGGCAGAAAAGAGGCAAGGGGCAGAGCAAGATGTGGCCCTTGCAGCCAGGAAAAGGTGAAGGTTAATAAAACATAGACCTTATTCTTACCGAAGGCCTACAGAACCTTAAAGATAACTGTGACAAATAAATGGAAATAATCGGCCCTTAATGAATGACCCCCCCAAAACAAAGTGGGGCTTCTCAGGTGATCGATACATATGTGAGTCCAAAAGCAAAGGAGGTGGATGCTCCAAAGTTGAAATGGACATTTACGACGGTGACAGGGACATCCATCTGCCTCTGACAAGGCCACAGTACACGCAGTCCCATCACCTATGTTAAACTATAGCTGGGCAGCGGGGTGGAAACAAAACAGGATGAAAAGCTAACTTAGAAGCTGACATCAGAAGACTCCACAGGTGACCTACAAGGAGAAAGTAAAGCCACTCACACCCAAGGCCAAAATCACGGCTTTCGCCAAGAGGCCTGAAGGGAGCTCATGGGCTCCCCAGGCCGCCCCACACCCCGTACAGGTGCGGTGGGTCACTGAGGGAAGCAGTGCCTCACCAGAAGATTACTACTCTCCAGAAAGTGACTGACCACAGGGGGCCGGGGGGAACAGAAGGAAGCCCAGGTCCGAGAAACAGGACGAGCAAATAGAGCAGGAAGTGTGGGGCATAGGAGGAAGCAGCTACTGGACGGCTCTGAATCCGATGTCTGTCTGGGAGAATATGCAGACACGTGGAGGCAGGAGACACAGCCGAAGGCCAGAAACAGCGAGCACCAACGTTGCCCAGCGTTATCTGCACACCAGGATAAAGCAGGGCTACTTCAAGGGCCACTTCATCTGTGAGAAACTGAGATTTCCAACCCTTCTTTCACTCATACGTAGAAGAAATATATTCCAAGAACGGAGCTGCTGTAAGCACTATGCCATTGTTAAGTTGTGACTGGTTCATCTTAGAAGTATAAACAAAAGCAAAACTCTTTGGGGCGCCTGGGGGGCTCAGTCGGTTAAGCGTCTGACTCTTGATTTCGGCTCAGGTCATGATCTCACGGTTCAGGAGATCGAGTCCCGTGTTGGGCTCGGTGCTGACAGTGTGGAGCCTGCCTGGGAGTCTCTCTCTCTGCCTGCCCCGCCCCCAAAATATATAAATAAACTAAAAAAGGAGGAAAAAAAAGCAAAGCTTTTTCTACCATTTTTTTTGGCAAAAATAAGTTAATGATATCAATTAAATAATTAGATATTGTTACCTGTAAATAATTTGAAAAACAATAAAGGAGCCAACAAAAATATACAATATCTAGGACAACTAAAAATAAGACAAAAATCTCAGCCATCTACCACTTTTGGGAAATGTTTTCCAGATAACTAATGGTCACTATTTTAACCACCGATAGGTTCTTTCAATTTCTGATTAAAAACTGAAAAAGTTATTCTTGTATTATATGCTGTACTCCTATCACAAGGGGGTGGGAAATTCTTAACATTTTCCTAGACTCCTATGGGACTGATCATTAAACTTACTATACTATTTCAATACAGTGATCCTCTCAGACCCCGCCAAGGAGATGAGGGTTTTGTGCACTGACTGCAAATGGCCAGACTGTAGTGCTGAGATGCTAAAAATATTTTCTATCTATTTTTTTGCAGAGAGGTGTCACTTCCTTGTGACCCTCTCCCCAGGATTACCAGCTCCTCTCCCTTTCTAATTTGTTGACTTAGAAACCAAATCACCAAGCTTACTGGCATCCTATAGAAAATGAGCTTAGAGACGGCTTCTTCCATGGGCAAAATTAATGAGCTTTAACTAGTTAATGAGAAACTAGATTTTGAGGCTATGCTCCAAACAAAAGAATCTGTTAAAACTGGCCTTTGAAAGGGGTACCTGGGTGGCTCAGTTGGTTAAGTGTCGACTTCGGCTCAGGTCATGGTCTCACAGTTCGTGGGTTGGAGCCCCGCGTCGGGCTCTGTGCTGACAGCTAGCTCAGAGCCTGGAGCCTGTTTCAGATTCTGTGTCTCCCTCTCTCTCTGACCCTCCCCTGCTCACACTGTCTCTCTCTCAGAAATAAATAAAAAAACATTAAAAATTTTAAAAAATAAACCCTGGCCTTTGATGATCAAACATCAGCACTTGGATGTTCTTACAAATATTCAGAAACTGCTTTAGGATATTAAATACCTTAGCTACAATTTTAATTGCATGGTTTATAAAACTGCTGTGCGCCTCCATCATTAAGAAATACAAGCAAAAATATTTCAATTAGTTTTTGCTATATATATATACACAGGGCATAGCATGAGTATATACCAATAAAAGTAGATGTTTTTGAAGGGCGGTAACACCAATTGATCAGATTCCTACATCGCTCTTTGGGACTGATCCTGTTTTCAGCAATTTCTCATGATTTCCCTGACCATACAATGGCAGACATATTAATGGGAGAGGCACAGTAACAGGTAAGTTTGAAATTCCCTTAGTAAATAATCTTATCCCTCAACAAATGTTTTTGCGGGGTTTTTTGGTTTTTTTTAAAGATAATACAAGGAGATCTTTTATTGCCAAAGGGAAAAAACCAGCTTACTATCACAGAAAAAAAGGATGGATTTACTCAATCCCATGTATCACTCCCAAAGCCCTGCCTTCAATTGTGCCTGGGGTCAAAATCCAGAGACTGCTCTCTGAGGCCTTAGGCCTTTTCCAGGATGAGAGAGTGAGCCTCCTGAAACGCGCTCAAGCCAATTCTCTTTATTTTCATCACATCCCTCTTCATTCCACTGCTAGAGCTTCCCCAGGCTGCCAGTCCCAAGCCTTCTGGGGATTCTGCAGTTTAAACCAGGTTGGTTCTCTGCTTTCTCCACCAGCAATCCGGGATCCACTTTCCTGTACTACCTGCTAGCTTCTAAAATGTTGTTGCTAGTGACTCCTTCCTCATTCTCCGTATCCTATAGGTTTCAGTCTTTTAAAGTATCTTTTGAGTGGTACCTAGGTGGCCTAGTCAGTTGAGTGACAGGCCAACTCTTGATCTTGGCTCAGGTCATGATCTCACGGTTCATAAGACGGAGCCCCTTGTCAGGCCAGAGCTGACAGCCTGCTTGGGAATCTCTGCTCCTTCCTTGCCCCCACAACCCCACAATAAATAAATTAACTTAAAAAAAATCTTTTGATATTTCGTAGGCTCCTATTCCTACATTTTAGCAGGGTTTTGGGGAACCAAAATAAATGCCTGTGTTTCATCTACCATCTTTAACTGCAAGTCTATCACTGAATCTGAACATGACTGTTCAATATTTAAAAAACAGTGAATTTCCACTCGAAAAAAAATGTGAGAATCCGATCTTTTTCTTAACTCGTTTTTCTTTTCTTTAATGAACTCTTATGAATAATTAGTCCTGAAAGGCTTTCCCTTTCCATTATCTTACTAGATTAGAGTTAAGTGCCAACAGTCCATACCCATAAAAAGGAAACAACCTGAGGAGACCTGGCAGACCCTAGGGCCCTACTTAGTAAGTCTGCGCCAAGGCCACGGCCACGGCCACGGCCTTCCCCGCAGCTCCCCGCATTTCCACCCAAGGCCTCCACCTGGATAGCCTGACGCCTTGAAAAGTCAATAGTAGCTAAAGCAGAATTCATCTTTTGCCCCAAACTGAGTCCCCCATAATGGAATCACTGTTCACCGTGGACCCAAACCAGAGACTTGGGAGTCACCTTAAGTTCCCTGCACGGAGCCCGTCCCACGGGTCACACCAAGTCCTGATGGCTGACTGGTCTGCACTCCACGGGTCACTGCTATTGGACAATATCCTCCTGGGTGACTGTCCTGCCCTCTTCCAACACTCCCTCTACTCAGCAGGCAAAATGGCCTAAAACCTTAAAGTTGAAGGATCCTTAAAAATCATCTACAACGAAGCCTCTCAGATTTACTGATGAGATAAAAGTGGAGAGAAGTAACCTTCCCAGAATAGGAACTGTAAATGTAAAAGAAACTCAGTCTCCATAATTTTCTGGACACTAACAACTTCAATGCTATCAACAGAAGACCCGGAGAATCGGAGAATTGAGTCCCTTCCTTTATTCCCTTCCCTTTTTGGAGAGTAGTTTCAAACAGACATTGAAAAACCACGGGTTTCCCACCAGCGGAGTGGCATCCACTGGAGGAATTTAGTTCACATTTCCACTTAAGTGATAGGCTTACTAATTTGTTAATTTCCATTTCAAAAGCCAAAAATTCCTCCAAAGTAAACCATTCAAACTTACTTTCAGAAACTAAGATTGGAACTAACCAGTTAATAGCAGAGGGGACTGACATCAGCTGTTCTTGGTGCCTCTCTCACTGCTCTAGCTAAAAAAATAAACAAATAGTAAAAAAAACAAAAACAAACACAAAACTTAGTCATACTTTTAGGACAAGAATCCTAGAAAAATTAACACAATGTTTGAAACCATAGTGTAGTACAAAAAGGCAGGGCAGAAAGTGTGATATACAAGGAATATTCTTTTGTTAAGCATTACTGTGTAACATACATGTATTCTATTAAGTGAAATGGCTTCCAGATTTTCTAACTGAACACAGCGAATGTGGATCCCAGACCAACAACCTTTGTCCTGTGAAAAACTGTGTTCCTCTATTAAAATAAATTCTGGAGACGGGTAAAGGAGGCAAAGGGGTAAACTGTACAGCCTTTCCTCACAAACTTGTCTATTTCTTCAAGACAAGTTACAGTCATTTTAATCAACGATTAAATCGTATCTTACAATTTCTTAACAATTTATGTTCATACTATATCCAGGTTTCTGGCAAGTCCCAATTATGACACAGTCTCCTGAACATCAGGCCTCACTGAGGAGTGAGGAAGCACATGATGTCCAAGTGTGAAAAGGTCTAACTTCAAGCCAGACTGACATTTTCTCTTACGTCTGTAATTTGAAATAATAGCCAAAGAGACTATGTTCTCATATTTGATTTCCTTTCAAGATAAATGATGGTGAAAAACTGGAAAAGAAGATAAATGTTCTGGAAATTCTCTAACTTATACAAGACCTAAAAACCCAGAAAGCTACCTTTTCTTACTGATCTCAAAATACTAAGGGCTTAAGACACCAAATCAGGGTTTGAAATGTTCTATTCGCTTCCTGGGTTCACTTAACAGTCTATTCCCAATCACAACAACCACCGGCAACAGGTTACCCACAATCTTTGGTTGTGCTGGTTTTTAGCCACATGGAACACTATGTGTTTGGTAGTTTTAGTCTTTAAAGACTTCTATGGTATGACTTCTAAATTCACTGTCCCCCAAATCCTACCCTGTAGGCAGAAAAGACAGTGGCAGAGTGGGAAGGGCAGTGGCAGAGACTCGGCCCACCCCCACTCCAAGATCCAGGCACAGCTCTGAACTTTTGTGAACTTCAGTTTCCTCCTCTGCACTTGGGAAAAGGGGATCTGCTTCCTTCCAACCTCAATGCAGTCCCACTCCGGGGCCACCGGCACTAACCTCACAATTAGGGAGGGTGCTACTGAGTACCCGCTGCACGCCACTGACTTGATGCTTTGCCATCCCACAATTAACTCTTCATTAAAAAAAAAAAATCTCATTTTCTACTTTGCTGACTCCATTCAGCCAGTAACAACTCGACCAACTACTTATGATAAAGCCAATGACCCATTCCTCCTCACTTACATCACTTCCTCTTACTCACTTCCCAAGATGGCTCTTCTCCCTTCCACAACTCCTTCCTTCTCCAGAAACTTCATCTAGCAACTATCCTCACAGGTCACCGAGGCAGCCTCTGAAGAGTCAGCTTCAAACCCACAGGCATTTGGACAAACGGCGTTCCAAATCCATGGGCTGGCATCAATGGGCCTCCCTTCCCCTAAGGATGGCCCCGTTCCCTGAAGTACCAAGATTCCTCAGGTATTACTCTGTCACATCCCCCTTGACTCAGTTTCTCCCCAGATCAGAGACCAGGATTATGGCTAACTCTGTTCCTTGCTCGGGCAGGACATCAAAGTTTCCTAAAAAAATAACAGCGAGACAAGAGGAAAGGGAAAGAAAGAAAGGAAAGGGGCCCTAGGATGATGAGGAGACAAAGGGGAAGGACCCAGAGTGGGGGAGGAGGGCCAAGTAAGAAGGGTAGGCGGGATGTGAGGATGAAACCCACGCTCACCGCTCCAGAAGTGGCTGAGACAACAGGTCAAGGCACAAAGTTCTGCCCCAACTTTGCAAGAAGGGAAGTCCCAAAAGGTAAAGCAACCTATCGGTCGGTGGGTGAAAGGCCTCCTCATCTCCATCCCCTTCCCCCGCCCAGTGATCGCAGCTCCAGCACAGCGCCCCTCCCCTCCCTTCACGCTCCAGGCCCGCCCCCCGGGGACGCCCCCGCCCGCCCCGGCCTCCACCCCGAACTTCCAGGCCGAATCTCGGGCCCCCGCCCGCCCCGACCCCAGCCCCGGGCCCGGACCCCCGCGCGGCCCCAGGCCTCGGGCCCCGACCCCCGGCCGGCCTTACGTGTTGTCCTGGTTGAAGTTGGCGAAGAGCAGCTGGCCGGCGCCGGCCTCGCCGCTCTGACTCGCCAGGTTCATGGTGGGCGCGCGGCGGGCGGGCCCGACTGAGGGCTCGTGCGCGGGAGGGCGAGTCGGGTGCGCTCAGGGTCGGCGCCTGGCCCCGCTCGCCGCCTCGCTGGCCGCAGCTGGCTGCCGGGGGATCAACCGCCGCCTCATCCCGTGCCCGCTCTTGTTTATGCTCCGGAGCCGGGACGCCCTGCGCGCCTGCGCGGCCCCGCCTCCTCGGCACACGGCCTCTCAGGGCGCAGGCGTATTGAGGAGGTCCCGCCCCTTCACCTCTGGCCGTGGCTGTGGTTCCGGTCGAACACGCGCACGCGTGGGGACGCGCGGGGGCGCGCCAGGCAAGGCTAGCTGTCGCACCAAGGACGGCACATGCGCAAGGGAAAAGTAAATATTTGGTATATCCCCATCGTTTTATCAATATTGAACGTGTCCGCTGTGTGCGTGTCCTTGTGCTAAGCATTTATGTACAGCGTCTTATTTGATGCTTATGGCAGGCCTATGTAGAGATTATTGCGTTCCCATTTTACGGATTTGAAAACTGAGGCTCAGAGATATTAACGTATTTGCCAGGTATTCAGTCTGAGAACCGTAACCCCATTCTTTCCCTAAGGCCCACGTTTTCTGGGTCTATGGCGGAGGATTCCATCTTACATTTATATATAGACAATAAAATTTATGAAACTTTCCATGTAAACTAAATAGACCTCCCTCCCCTCAAAGAAATTACAGTGGGCTAGACACTAAAACACAATTACAAGGTGGAGTACAAGCGAGCACCTAATGAGGTCACTCAACCTAGACTTAAGAAACGGAATGTGCAGTCAGAGAAGGCTTCCTGGAGGAGGTAAGATCTGAAGTTTGAATAGTAGTAATCTCTGGAAGCATTCTGTTTGGCAAAGGTCCACAGGTGAGAGTGTGTTCAGGGAAAGCTCTGCTCGGTGTGTCTGAGCTTAGAGTCGGGTGGTGGACTCAAGACTGACTGGGCTTGTGAAACTGGAAGTGGCCAGATCAAGCTGGGTGTTGTGAAGATACATCAAGCAGGAGCCTGAACATCATTTAAACAATGGGCTGCCTTTGAAAATACTTAGGCAGGAGAATGGCACAGTTAAATCTGTGTGCAGGGAAGTTAAGTTTAGCCCAGAGTCAAGACTGCATTGAAAATCATTGAGGAGGGGCGCCTGGGTGGCTCAGTTGGTTAAGTGTCCGACTTCAGCCCGTGAGGTCATGAGCTCATGGTTTGTGGGTTCGAGGCCCCCATCGGGTTCTGTGCTGACAGCTCAGAACCTGGAGCCTGTTTCAGATCCTGTGTCTCCCTCTCTCTCTCTGCCCCTCCCCTGCTCATCCTCTGTCTTTCTCTGTCTCAAAAATGAATAAAAACTATTAAAAATTTTTTAAAAAAGAAAATCATTGAGGAAAGAAGGGTCTTTTCCATTAATGGTGCTGGCTCTCATCCCTCAATCAAACTCAAAAACTAGTTTGAAAAGGATTGTAGACGCACATGTGAAAGGTAAAACAATAAAGCTGCTAGAAGAAAACATAGGAGAATGCCTTCATGACGTTGGAGTAAATCAAGTCTTCTACACAAGTACTTTAGAAAGTACTGACTACAGGGGCGCCTGGGTGGCTTAGTCGGTTAAGCGTCCGACTTTCGCTTAGGTCATGATCTCGCGGTTCGTGGGTTCGAGCCCCGCGTCGGGCTCTGTGCTGACTGCCAGCTCGGAGCCTGGAGCCTGTTTCAGTCTGTGACTCGCTCTCTCTCTGACCCTCCCCTGCTCACGCTGGCTCTCTCTCTCCTAGAAATAAATAAAAAAAAAAAAAAAAAAAAAGAAAGTACTGACTACAAAACATTAACTAATCTGCATCAAAATTAAGAACAACTGCCCGGGGGGGGGGGGCGGGGCTGGGTGGCTCAGTCGGTTAAGTGCCTGACTCTTTGTTTCAGCTCTGGTCATGATCTCACATTAGCGAGATCAAGCCTTGCTTGGGCTTGGGGTTCTCTCTCTCTCTCTCTCTCTCTCTCTCCCCCCCCTCCCCAGCTCGCTTGTGCTCTCTCTCTCTCTCAAAAATAAATAAACTTAAAAAAAAAGCATCAAGAGAGGTCAAGAAGGTAGGCTTCTTCTGAGAGGTCAGAATGGGCTTGCAATACATATTTTTTAAAGGAATGAATGTGGTTTTTTTACTTCCTAATTTTTATTTTATTTATTTAATTTATTTTTTTTACTTTTTTGTTTTTGTTATGTACTACATTGCTACACTGCACAACCTTCTAGAAAGGGCAGGTGAGCATAACTGAGTTATTCTTCATCAGTCAGGGAAAGGCTTCTTTAATCAATATTCTCCAAACCCTTTGACACATAGTAACGATTAACCCTGGAGATGCGCCTATCTCTTTGCATCAAACTCCACTGATTCGGGTAATAGGAAACCCTTTTTTTCTTGCCCCCGTTACAGAACCTGTGGATGTGCGCGGTGGCTATGCTGGGGATGACCAAGCACACAGCCATGACGCCGATCCCAGGCAGGATCTCAAACCATATCGCACAGCGCGCCTGCCAGGGCCGAGCCCTTCCTCTTACTTCCTAATTTTTAAAATGTGACCATTCACATTTTACTTCAGTCACAGCTTTTACTTCCAGGTGACTTCTTCATTGGGTACCAGTTCCCTTTTAAACAACAAACTCTTGTTCTGGAAGGCAGTTAGCTTTTTCCTCATTCTTTTTGTCTAGATAACATCCAAGGACAAGTCACACACGCACACGTGTATGTACCCAGTGGTCACGAATAATCAATTAAGTTCAGCATGAGTGCTGCGGCCTTGGTGCCACAAAAGACCCCCAAGGCCAAGGGCAGTGGCCAGCCCAGCCCTGCAATGCAATGCATATTTTTGACAAAGGACTTCTTCCCAGAATGTTAAAAGGATTTCTACAAGTGGGTAAGGAAAATACCAGCTCATTTAGGGTACTTGATTACAGGCACTTTACAAAATGTCATAATGGTCAATGAGGATCTGAGAAGGGTGATCTTCATTCATACTCATCAAGAAAATGCAAATTAAGAGCAAAGGCGATACTACGAGCATCCACCTGTTAAAATCAAATACAAATGGAGGCCAGACTTGAAAATTCCCGGAGTAGACAAAAACGGTTTCGTCACACGAGCAAAGCTTAATTTAGCTTGTTTTGCAAGACAAGCAAAGGCTAACTTGATCTTGCTGGTGCCTCTGAAAATCATAAGCGAAACCAAACTAGTTCCCCAAAATTGATGGGAGGTGACCGTTTCACCAATTTCCTTTCATTTCAGAAAATTCTAATAGCACAGCCAATCTCTGTAAAGAGTAAATAAATAGTCACCGCTTCCACACTCTAGAAGCTGCTATATACGTCTTGCTTCCGAGTCCCGTTCCATGTTCCGGTTTGAGTGTTCCTCGTTTGCAAACTGTCTTCTTGGTGGGTGCGCAATAAACTTCCAATTACTACTTCAGTGATTTGTTGATTTTCTTTATTTAAAGTTTGTTTATTTTTAAGACAGGGAGAGAAAGGTAGAGTGCAAGCAGGGGAGGGTCAGAGAGAGAAGGAGACACAGAATCAGAAGCAGGCACCCAGCTCTGAGCTGTTAGCACAGAGCCCGATGCAGGGCTCGAACCCATGAACCGAGAGATCATGACCTGAGCCGAAGTCGGACGCTTAACCGACTGAGCCACCCAGGCGCCCCGATATTCTTTTCTTGTTCTAAACTTTTGACATACCATGTTGGCTCACATTAAAGTAGTTGACAATGCAAAGTGTAGGCATTAACTACTGAGCAAGTGGGATTCCCGTACACTGTGAGTGGAAGTAAAAATCACTAGAACCAGGGCATCTGGCTGGCTCAGGCGGCAGAGCAGGTGACTCTTGGAGTTGTAAGTTCGAGACCCACGTTGACTGTAGAGATTACTTAACTATAAAATCTTTTTAAAAAATAAATTTAGGGGGTACCTGGGTGGCTCAGTCGGGTAACCGTCTGACTTTGGCTCAGGTCATTATCTCACAGTTTGTGGGTTCAAGCCCCGCGTCGGGCTCTGTGCTGACAGCGCAGAGCCCAGAGCCTGCTTCGGAATTTGTGTCTCCCTCTCTCTCTGACTATCCCCGGCTCACGCTCTCTCTCTCTCTCTCTCTCTCACAAATAAATTTAAAAAAACATTAAAAAAATTAGAATCACCTTGGAAAACAGTTTCACAGTATTACTAAAGTTAAACATATATATTCTGCCTTACTCGTAATAATCCCAAACGGTAAATAATCCAAATATTCATATACAGCAGATGATTAAGTAAATTGTACATTTATACAGAACAATACTACAGAGCAGTTAAAATGCCGTACACACATGAGTGAATCTCACAGCTTCAATACTGCGTGAAAAAAGCCAGATACAAAAGACCATACAAGGCACCTGGGTGGCTCAGTCAGTTACCCATCTGGCTCTTGGTTTTGGCTTTGGTCATGATCTCATGGTTCATAGGATTGAGCCTGCATCAGGCTTCACGCTGACAGCTGAGAGCCTGCTTGGGATTCTCTTTCTCCCTCTCTGTCTCCTCCCCTCTCCTGCTTGTGCTCTGTCTCTCAGAATAAATAAATAAACTTAAAAAGGGGGAGGGGGAACCTGGGTGGCTCAGTCGGTTAAGCATCCAACTTTGGTTCAGGTCATGATCTCATGGTTTGTGAGTTCGAACCCCACGTCAGGCTCAGTGCTGACAGCTCGGGAGCCTGGAGCTGCTTCGGATTCAGTGTGTCCCTCTTCTCTTTGCCCTTCCCCCTGCTTGCATTCTGTCTTTCTCTCTCTCTCTCAAAACTAAACATTAAAAAAAGAAAAAAGGATATAGACTGTATCAGTCCATTTATACGAAGTCAAAAATTGGCAGAGTAGTAGTTACCTCTGGTGAGGGGTTGGTTGGGAGGGGACATGAGGGGAACCAGGTGGGATGCTGGAGCTGCCCTATGTCTTGATTTCAGTGGTTGGCTAATGGGCATATACATACGTCAACGCATAAATATACATATTTGAATGCCCACATCGCCAGTCGCCAATCACCAGAAGTCAAGCTATAACACAGGGCAATGACTTTAGTGGTGTATCTATCAGCAGTTGGCACAGTTCCCTATGAACCATTTTTATTTTTTTACAAATAGTTTATTGTCAAGTTGGTTTCCATATAACACCCAGTGCTCATCCCCACAAGTGTCCTCCTCCATGCCCATCTCCCCCTCCCCTCCATACCCATCAGTCCTCAGTTTGTTCTCAGCATTCAAGAGTTTCTCATGATTTGCCTCTCTCCCCCTCCCCCACTATTTTCCCCCTTCTTCTCTCCCCCCCCCCACGGTCCTCCTTTAAGTTCCTCCTAATCCTCCTATACGTGCAAACATATGGTATCTGTCCTTCTCTGCCTGACTTATTTCCCTCAGCATAACACCCTCAAGGTCCATCCATGTTGCTACACATGGCCAGATTTCATTCTTTCTCATAGCCATGCAGTATTCCGTGGTATAGATAAACCACATCTTCTTGATCCATTTGTCCGTTGATGGACACTTAGGCTCCTTCCATGTTTTGGCTATTGTTGAGAGTGCTGCTATGAACATTGGGGTCCATGTGCCCCTATGCATCAGCACTCCAGTATCCCTTGGGTAAATTCCTAGCAGTGCTATTGCTGGATCATAGGGGAGTTCTGTTGTTAATTTTTTGAGGAACCTCCACACTATTTTCCAGAGGGGCTGCACCCTTTTACATTCCCACCAACAGTCTAGGAGGGTGCCCGTTTCTCCACATCCTCACCAACATCTAGAGTTCTCCAATTTTCTGATTTTAGCCACTCTGACTGGCATGAGGTGGTATCTCAGTGTGGTTTTGATTTGTATTTCCCTGATGAGGAGGGACGCTGAGCATCGTTTCATGTGTCTGTTGGCCATCTGGATGTCCTCTTTGGAGAAGTGTCTGTTCCTATCTTCTGCCCATTTCTTCACTGGGTTGTTTGTTTTTCGGGTGTGGAGTTTGGTGAGTTCTTTATAGATTTTGGTTTTTATCTCTTTATCTGATTTGTCATTTGCAACTATCTTTTCCCATTCCGTTGGTTGCCTATTAGTTTTATGGATTGTTTCCTTTGCCATGCAGAAGCTTTTAATCTTGATGAGGTCCCAATAGTTTATTTTTGCTCTTGATTCCCTTGCTTTTGGGGATGTGTCAAGTAAGAAATTGCTGTGGTGGAGGTCAAGGAGGTTGTTTCCTGCTTTCTCTTCTAGGGTTTTGATGGTTTCCTGTCTCACGTTCCTATGAACCATTTTTGAACGAAGGCACATAAAGAGTAGAACTGGGTTCTAGACGCACTTCTTGGCTTCATTTGGAAAAGCCACCCAATTTCCCCACATTCATCAGAATCTATTATTTATTTCATCCAGGAGAGTAACTTCTCTCTGTTGGTTCAGCAAATGAAGATTTCCATATTGCCAGGGTGTAGACTCAGTTTCCAATCTACCTGAAACATGAGTCTGTTCCCTGGGGCAATAGGGGTCCTTCTGGTACTAGAACCTTGAAATCCAGTGGGCTCAGGGGTGTGCGGATGGAAACAAAAACATCTTAAGTGGATTATTCTTTGTAATATGCAAGGAGACACTACCACCTCCACTCCCAGCCTGCAGGCATGTATTGCATATTGTAGAATGACAGCCCAGCCTCTCAGGGTGTGGTCTCAGCTGGCGCCACAACTAAACCTTCAGGAATCATTCTGTCATCTATCTGGGTAATAGGGCACATCATAAGGATGGTGAATTCCAAGGGCATGAGCCCGTTGTCAAAGCTTCCTTCACGTCAACGTAAATTTCTCGGTCAGAAGAGATGTGATATGAACACCTGGATACCCTACTAAAAATGGCCACCTCCATACTTTCTTATATTCCCCATCCCTTCCCTTGCTCTGTCGCTATATAGTACTTATCACTTTCCAATGGTCCACAAAATGCCCCCTCCTGACTGGAACATAATCCCCACAAAGGGAGGATTTTTGTCCGTCTTGTTCACTCTGCGTTCCCATTACCTTAAACACGAGAACTTAGTCCCTGAACAACTCAACCGTGGGCTTCCATTCCTGGGGGCCAGAATGGGCTGGCGCTCAGGGCTGCTGCCCACCCCCAACCCCCAGATTTTGATTCCCTGCTCTGCGATCTGGGAGGTAGTGGGAGCCACGGACATGTGTGGCTGGGGAGTAGGCTGGGGTTGGGCTGAAGAGCTTGACCTGCTTGTGACTCAGAAATGCACCCTGGTATCCCAGCTCACCTGTGGACGGCATGAGCTGACGTTCCTGATGGCAGATAGAGCAGGAGGGATGCTCTCCTGAGCTTCTAGCATCCTTTCAGGGGTCCTCCAGCTAACTGGCCTGATGCCAACGCCATAAAGAAGAGCTTCCCTGCCTCCTCTCCACCTTAGAACAGAACCATTATGTGCCGGTGCTCAAAAAACTCCTCAAGTATTCTTATGTGCGACATTCAGGGATGAGCAATCCTCCCACAGGCGAGTTCCTAAATAAACCCGTGGG